CCGCTCCCCGCGGTCTAGGCTTCCTCCCCTTGGGCGAGCCTGGCCCAGCCTTGGCTCTAAGTGTGTTGAGCAGAACCAGTACCGACTTTCCAGACCAGACACCTGCTTCTCCCCACGCCTCCTGAACATCTTACGCTGTGCTTGCAAATCGGTACTTTTATCAAGTTTCCTCTCGCTCCCGTGTAGCTGTGGTTTCCACTTGAGTGGAGACTTGTGTTAGTGTCCATCACTTCTTCATGGAGGTTTCACTGCGCTATGATCAGAGGAGCACAGAATGTGCTTTCACCTCTCTCACTCCCTCTACTCCTCCTCACCATCCCTCCCCTTCCTCACTGCATTTTACTTTTAATGTGTTTCATTTTGCTATTTTCATGAATGCATATAATGACTTGTTCATATTCACCCTCATCAAATTCCCCTTTCTCTGCTCCTTTCCTAATGTTTTTCCACCCCAAACAGGGCCTCTTGTAAAAATTCTAGAAAATAATCATGATATAAAAACTGCACCCAGCCTTGGTGGCTCAAACCTGCAATCCTAGCTACTCAGGACGCTGAGATCAGGAGACTCATAGTTCAAAGCCAGCCTGGGGAAATAGTTCACGAACATTACCTGGAAAAATCCTTCACAAAAATAGGACTGGTGAAGTGGTTCAAGGTGAAAGCACTGAGTTTAAGATCCAATACTACAAAAAAGAAACAAACAAACAAACCTGTCACACAAAAAAGGCTAGCAGAGTGACACAAGGTCTAGGCCCTGAGTTCATGCCCCAGTACTGGAAAAAAAAAATCAAAATGTAAAAACAACTAAAAAAACTTTCCTTAGTGATAAATACAAGGTAAAAGGATAAAGAAAGTTCAAATATTGTATCCTTTGGTTTTCCCTTAGTGGAAATGTAGATGACATCAGAGAGATACCCCAGAATTGACAAATGGTGTATTTATTCTTAGTTGTGATTTGTTGATGTTTATGTTCTCACTTCATTTTCCTATAAAACAAATCGTATATTTCAATAATTCTCTTTGCTTCTTCAGACTTCAATATTCTATACACTCAGGTTCCAAACAAGAAAGTCACCTTCTTACAGCCAGTAATGAAAGAAATTCTGAAATGCTTACGTAAGATGATAGATCATAGCAAAAAGATTGGCCAAAGAAAAAAAAAGAAGCCAGGCATTTGGCCACATTTCCCAGGGAACTCCACATTCAGAAGGTTAAACTCCTGCTAAACGTAGGGTAAGATACCCCCCTTACTCATGAGGAAAGATTCAGATACTTCCTGATAGGGGTTTATTAACAACACATACAGATGTCCCCTTTACCAGGAAACTCCAGATAGCTAGCTCTTTCTGTCTGAAAGTGGGACAAAGGACCAATACTTGATGACACTGCATGACCACATCAATGGGCAAATACACGAAGCCTTTTCTTCATTTGGTAGAACCCAAAAGTATCTTCTCTCTCACTTTCTCAATTGGCACAGATCACACTTTGATGACATCAACTCAATCTTTGCAAAGCAAAGAGCTGGAGATGTCCACTTTATCCACTTTGTAATCCTGGCAAACAGTAGTGATTAAAGAAGTTTCACTGCCAGGACTTTCTGCTGAGGAGCAGCAGGCAAGTGCAGACAAATGCCCTTTCTACTTTGAATTCAGGGACTCAAACTTTTTCTTCTTTGACAAAACTACCACATTGGCAGACATAATTTTCTGATTCCCAAGTTTTGAATGCTGACAAGAATCAAACTTAGCCTAACTTTCTTCTTCCTCCAGTCCTACTTTAGCTTCAGGCAGTTCACAACCTGTCCTGTATGCTGACCTCAGGGATCAAAGTCCTCTGGTCCAGAATCTGATGTTCCCCTCCATCCCCCGTCCTCCCACCTGCTTTCCACTCCTGTTTGCTCCTCTCTGAACCAATGCCATGCAGGAGGCGAGTCCACCACTGCTTCTTTCAGTCCCCTGCAGCTGCTCCACAATCCCAGCCAAAATCTGACCTTTTCCCAGATTCCTGGGCAATCCAGCTTCATCCCTAGGCTCCTGCAGGCAGGGGGACACAGAGCTTCTTACCTGGTTATAGGTACCAGCTGTTGACTGCAACCACACCTGAAATAGGCAAGCTCCAGGGCCCTGGCAGAAAGATGGCCAGGCACCTCAGTGTGGTAAATGCCAAGAACAACCACTTCCCCTCCAATGACACTCACGTCACATCCCAGCAAATGACACTGATGTGTTTCCATGCATACTTGATACAAGTGGAGAGAGGCTGGAGTTTTCCAGGAACTCCTCTCCAGCTTTAGGGTGTGGGGGCAGAATAGGGTGTCTCAGATACTCTTTTCTGTTTTTCAAGGCTCCCCAAAAAACAGATTCCAGGAGGAGGGGGAGCTCTATTCCATAAACTCTCAGTTCCCTTACACACCTCCAATAGATAGTGGAAGGAGACATCCATACTTGAACAATCTAGACTTATATCCAAAATTCTCTTCCTTCATATTTATGTTTTCCTGGAAATCTGTAAAACACTAGCATAGCTTCCATCACTCTGGTTTAGGAGGTCTTCTTGGTCCTGCCTTCAAAGTCTTCTTTTTTAATGACATGACTCGATAACTTGTAAACTATTTTTTACTTTGAGTCGGAGATGGGAAAAGAGCAAAGGAATCATCTATACATATTTTCTGGATTTCTGCTTGAGTTTTAGATGTGTTTACTATTGTACATCACTGTACAAGGAGGATTCACTGTGCTATTACCATACAATCCCGTAATGTACTTTCATAACTTTAATCCTGCCTATTACTCTTTCTTCTCATCCTTCTCCTCCCTCCCTGCCTTTTAGATCAATGGGTTTCATTGTGCTGTTTCCATGGATACATATAATGCACCCCTTCATCCTCATCCTCTCATGATATTGTCTTTTCTTTTTCTTTCCCAGTGGTTTCCACTTCAAAAAATTCCCCCTTGCACATTCATGTAAAAGATCTAGATTATGCATATTATATAAAGCATGTGGTATTTATTTTTCTGAGACTTGCTCACTTTACTTAACATGAAGATCTCTAGCTCCATCCATTTTCCTGCAAATTACATAATTCCATTTTTTCTGTATGGATGTATATTACACTATATGTTTTCTTATTGGTACATTGGTTGTTCGGCATGGAGGCAAACTCCATAGCTTGCCTATTGACAACAGTACTGCTATAAACATGGGCATTACATACTTTCATGGGTGTGCACAGGAAAGGTAGAACAGGAGCAAGCACATAGCAGTTCTATAGTTACTGGTGATTTTTTGGCATTACTGGAGTTTGAACTCAGGACCCCTGACTTACTAGAAAGACCTTCTACCACTTGAGCCACTACATAGGCCCTGAAGGGTATTGAGTATTTTCAAGATAGTTTCTCACAACTATTTTCCTCCACTAGTTTCAAACTGTGATCTTCCTGGTCTCTGCTCCCAAACAGCTAGGATTACAGGTGAGCCCAATGGTGCCTAGACATCAATTATAAAAATATTTTAATTAGTGATTTGATTATACAACAAACCAGTATTTGCCATTTCTGCTCTGATCTCTTCTTTGAAATTAATATTACTGTGTTTTATGGGGGGGTGTAGAGCAGCACTAGGGCTTGAACTCAGGGCCTTCACACTTATTAGGCTGGTTTGTTATGTGATCTACTCTGCCAGCCTTTAGAGATTATATTGTACAAGCTCAAAAGGTGAGTTTTAAGCCCAGAAACAGGATAATTAGGCATTCCATGTCAGGCAAGGAATCAATGCTAAATTAATCACATGCATGACCAACTTGGGCAAGTAAGTGTGCCCATGCAAGGGGATCGCCTCTCCTTATTTTCTCCCCCTCATTACATGACTAGTCCTCTCAGTATGGCCTATTCTCCTCTTGTGTGTGTGTGTGTGTGTTAATTTTATCTTGAACTAGTACACACTCCTAATACAAGGAGTTTCACTGTGATAATTCCATATATGCAGACAGTGGTTTGAGGTATTTTGAATTCAGGTTGGTACCAGGTGACAGGTATCTAGTTGCAGAATTCTACATATAAATATCCAGTTTTCCAAGCCCATTTGTTGAAGAGACTGTCTTTCTCCAATGTTTTTGACACCTTTGTAAAAGGTAAGAAGGGTGTAAGAATATGGATTTATTTCTGAGTCTGCTTTTGTCATTTTTACTTTTTATATACATATAGGCTAAAAAATTAATAATGTAAAATGTTTTGACATATATATATATATATATATACATTAAAGCATAGTGAAATTAGGGTACCCACCAGATATAGTACTTCTAATCCCTATAATTTTATTGTGATTACAACACCTAAATTCTAATCCTTTAGTGGTTTTCTCAATCATTGTTATTAAGTGTTGTCACCATATTTTATAAATGTTCAATTCAACTTGTGCCTTCTCCACACCTGATATTTTGTCTTTAACATGTCTTTATATGTGAAATGATTTTTCATAAATGGTGCATAATTAACTCGATCACTGTCTTTTAATTGGTACATTTAAATATTACACATTCAGAGATAGCTGATACAAGTAGTGTAAATTATACCATGTTGTAACATTTTTCCCCTTTTTTCTTTTGGAAGTACTGTGTTCACACATTTTAACAACATGTAAGGAAAAGAAAGCTTTCCCCCATGGCTTACATATAAAGGACTTCTGTTGACTATGACTTGGTTCATGTCTTTATGGACACTCAACTGAAGGAGGCTTTCCCACAGTGATAACATACATAGGTTTTACCCCAGGGTGAGTTTGTGTCTGTCTTCTAAGATCACTGGAAGAATAGAAGTATTTCCTACATTGCTTACATTCATAAGGTTTTACTCCAGTGTGAATTAATTCATGTGTTTTGAGGTACCTGGAAGAACTAGAAGTTCTTCCACATGGCTTACATACATAGGGCTTCTCGATACTGTAATTTTTACATGTCTTTGATGGCCATGGGACCAGTAGAAGTCTTTCCTGCATTGTTTACATGCGTTATGTTTTGCTTCAGTATGAATTTGTTCATGTTTTTTGAGGTAATTGCATGAACTAAAGGCTTTTCCACATTGCTTACATGTAATGGGCTTCACTCCCATGTGAGTTCTTTCATGTTTTTTCAGGTAAGTGGAAGAACTAAAAGCTATTCCACATTGCTTGCATACATAGGGTTTCTATGTACTGGAAGATCTTTCATGTTTTTCAACAGCGCACAAATGTGAGATGGATTTCCCACATGGCATACAAACATACAGTTTTTCTCTACCATGAGTCAGTTCATGTTTGCAAATGCCACTCCCACAAAAAAGTGTATGTCTGCACTGCTTACATACAAAGGGTGCCTCTCCAGTGTGACTTCTTTCATGCCATTTAAGGAGTCTGGAAGTAGGAAAGGCTATCTCAGAATCCTTCCATTTAAATGGCTTTTCTCCATATTCCTGATACTCATGTGGCCTGGGTCCACTCTAGAGTTCTGAAGGGCAGACTCAGGGATGGATGGTTGATAAAGACTTCCTTTTACAGAGTTTTAATTTGGTCCCACTCTAGTAGGAGTATTATTGCTCATAATATGATCTGGAGTATGGCTGAAGACTTCTCCACACTGAATATCTTCTTTTTGGTCACAGAATCTCCCCACCACTTGACGTCTAGAAATAATGAAAAACACATTACTAAGCTATTTTTTCAAATACATAACAGGAGAAGTAAAGATTTTATGGCCTGAAAGAATTTTTGAACATGCAGGATGGTTCCAGGAAAGATATTATCAAACCAGTGTATTGTTATGGGATATCTAAAGATTCTATCCCAGTATTTTGCAAACATTGACTATCTAATTTACATTTAAATGCATTTGATTATTGTACATGGAAAAACTGTGACCAAAATCATATAGGTTTTGAAGTATTTGCACAATCCTAAGAAGCTATATTGAAGATTATAGGCACCAATCCAAAGACAGAATTCATTTTCTGCAAATGCACCATATAGTCACACCCTGAAGGAAAGTTCATATAATATTTTTCACAATTAGCATGAAATAAAGTTTTTGTACAATAAAACAACCTACATTATCACTTGGGACATCATGTTGGTACTCCACATTTCCGATATTGGAAAATTTTGAATTGGAATTTCCTTTGGGTTTTTGTTGTTGTTGTTGTTTGTTTGTTTTTGTAGTACTGGTGTTTGAACTGAAGGCCTCACAGTGGCTAGACAGCACTTCACCACCTCCACCAGTCTGCCAGCCCTTTACTGTGTTAGAGGTTTTTGAGTTAGGGTTTTAAGAATTATTTTCCCTAAGATGGTTTCAAATTTGATCTTCCTGATTTATGTCTCCCAAGTACCTATGATTATAGGTGTGAGCCTATAAACCAGTACCTGCCTCCTGTTTTATTTTTGGTTGAGGATAAGGTTTGAACCCAAGGCCTGCTGCTTGAAAAGCAACCCTCACACTGGCTGGGTTAGCAGTATATTACTTCACTTTAGCCAGTCTACCAGACCACTACATCATTTTCTTTAGGAAAATTTTTCTCTGTGTTTTTGGAATGGCTCAACTGGTAGAGCACCCGTGTAGCAAACTGGAGGCCCACAGTTTAATCTTGAGCACAGAGAAAAAATGCAATTTTACCCTTAGTCTTTTTTATTCTTCTTTTTTGTGGACTAGGGATGGACCTCAGCACTTCACACCCTGCAGCACAAGAACTCTATCACTTGGGACACACCTATAGTCCTCTTTAATTCTTAAGTGATATTTCTTATTCTTTTTTCCTTTTTAACATTTTTATTGCTATATATTATTTATACACAAGATTTCATTGTGACATTTACATATGTACATATATTATATCCCAGCTTGTTTCACCCCCTCCATCATTATTCCTCCTACCCTATTCCCACCTTAAAATAACTTCAACAAGTTTCAATGTTCCATATAAATGCATGTACAGAAAGTACATCAAACATGGTGGGGACAGTGGCTGACTCCTGTAATCCTAGCTACTAGGGAGAGTGAGACTGAGAGGATCCAGGTTCAAGGTCCATCAGGGCAAATATTTCTCAAGATCCCATTTCCAACAAACCCAGAGCAAAACACACTGGAGGGATGCTGCAAGTGTTAGAATGCTTGCCTTGCCAGTGCTAAGGGCAGAGTTAAAAAACAACCCCCCCCCACCAAAAAACGTAAATCAACCATACCCTGCTTTACCCTCTTCATGTACCCTCTGCCTTCTTACTACAGACCTCCCTTTCACATAATATGTTTCATATTCCTTTCCTTTAGTGTTTAACTTGCTTTCTCTTGTGAGTACAAATTACCTTAGCTTTCTTCTGGAATTTTTGTACACCTCTTCAATTGTCTGATCTTCATCTGTTTATTTTTTAAATAAAATAGACAAAAAAATAAAACATTCTGAATAATATTACTATGGAAAAAATACTAGATTCTAAGTAGGCTTATGGTATAATGAGCCAACACTTGGTATATTCACTGAATTTATGGTTTCCACATTCCAAATTATTCCAAAGCACTGATGACAGCAAACACTGGTTCTCTCATTGACTAAGGAAATGAAGTCATCCTTACCAACAGAGGCCAGGTTCCTGAAGGTTTCTACCATCACATCCCTGTACAGTTTCTGTTGTGAAGGATCCAGCAAAGCCCACTCTGCCTTGGTGAACTTGACACACACATATCTTCAAAAGTCACAGATGCCTAAAACATGACAAGTGTATTTCAAAGAGGAAGGTCAGACTGACAGTACTGAAAATCTAGACTTCAAGTGTTCACATGATGCTGTGCTCTCAAAGTGTTCATTCCATGTCTTGGGCATTAAACTCTTGCTCCTCATGTAAACTCACACCCTGTCATACAGCATGTTTAATGCTAGTCTGAAAATAATTGTGAAAACAACAACAGTAGCAGAACAAACTGAATGCTCCTGAATCACCCCAATTTCCTTTTAAAATGTGGGTCTATAATTTCTGTCATAACGATGAACTGCAACCTAGCTTGCACAAGAGAATTAACATTACTAGGGCTGGTGGAGCAACGCCCTGGGTTGAAACCACACTCCCACAAGGAAAAAAAAAAAAGAAACAAAACTCACTTGTCCTGATGTGGCAGGAAGGCAGGGAGGGGGAAGGGAGATAATAAATGACAATGACAGTTAATGAGTGCTACAGTGAAACAAAGAAAAACAAGAGTTGGGGAAACTTACATGGAGACCAGAGAAGGGTCACCTGCCCCAGAGGTTAGAGCAGCCAATGAAATGAGATGTGATTCTGCATGGGACAAGCTGTACCCCCATTTCTGTAACCTGCCCTAAGTGGTATATAAGGCAGGCCCCCTTTGTTCTTGGGGCTTAGCCTTTGGACTCGAGTCTACTGAGTCTCTGCCAATTTGCTTAATAAACTTGCTTTCTGAAAGCTTTGGTGCCCTGTCTCTGTCCGAGCCCTCCTGCAACACTGAGACTATGTATTCTTAGAAGTGTTTGAACACAAAGTACAATGGTGCCTGCAACTTCGGTGGCATGCACCTCATCAGCTAGACTGAAAGAGGAGCTCAGTGTTTCCAAACAGTTTCCATGAGCAATATGTGATTTTTTGTTTTCAGTACTGGAGTTAGAACTTAGGCCCTATACCTTGAGTCACTCCACCAGCTTTTTTTGTGAAGGGTTTTTCATGACATGGTCTCATGAACTATTTTGCCAAGCCAGCTTCAAATAGCAATCTTCCTAATGTCTGTCTCCTGAGTAGCTGGGATTACAGGAATGAGCCACTAGCGCCAGCAATATTCTGTTCTATTCTTGGGGGGGGGTCTCTTAAACTATTCGGCCTAGCTGCTTGGAAGGAGAAGCCTCCCAATATCAGTCTCCTGTGTAGCCAGGATTAAAGGGATGGGCCATTGTTTCCCAGCAGCTATCCTGTCAAGCATTGTAACTCTCCCTTTCTTCAATCCAACTGAGATTCTCTTATGTTGTTCAATTTAAATTATTCATTTGAATCGTCTTCCAGAATTCACTCATGTCATGGGTGAGGACATTGTTTTGATTCTCTTTTCCCTAACCTGTCACACTACATGTTCATTGAGAGCACACACGGAACATTCTAAACTGACTGTCACCTTTGTAAATACCAGGAGTCTCAGCACAACCTTATAAATCCACACCTCAAATAGGCTGCATGGAAATTAAAGCTAATCTCAGTGCAAAAGGAAGTATCATTATTTAAGGAGTAACAATTGATAAAACTAAAGGTGACACTATTTAGAACAATTTCTTTCATATGAATGAAGTCCTCAAGAAAGCAATAAAGCTAACTGAAGTAGGAATAAGGACACTTGTTGAGAAAGGGACATTTAAGATGAGTCCCCAAATATTATATTAATATACACAGGAAGGGGAAAGGATTCAGAAAACATGGCAGAATAAAAGTATGATGATTTTATTTTCCCTCAGAAAAAAATTTTATTGCCAACACCTCTCCCATGTGGGTATTTTGGGTCTCAGGAGTCTACTAAAAGGTTGTCATTTTCAGAAAAAGGACTGGATGGTAAATTGTACTTAATTTTAGTCAGTTTCTACTCATCACAGTACCAATGACAGAAAGATGCACTGCATTGCAAAACCAATTGCATTAGTTTGAGAAGCCACTTGGTTGCAGAAAGTAGGTGTCCAAGTGAGCCAAACAAATCCTGTTTGGCAAATACTGAACATTTGTGCTGTCCTTCAATGTGACTCGTGGGGGCCATTGTTGTTGCACTCCATCCATTGTTATCTGGTCCCTGTCCTCCAGCTGATGTGATTTTCAAAGGACTGAAGTGTCTAGTGACTTTTACATTCATTTGTAATAGTCATGGTGAATCCCCCAGGTACAATGAATATATCCCAATAAAAAAGAATTGATTAAAAAAAGATTTTGTTTGTTAATGATTCATCTAAAGATGTGATGGTTTTGTCCTCTGTAACAATTTTTGAACATAGGCAGATGGCATTGTAGGATGCCTGTGTGGAAAGCCACAGGTCATAAGTTCAAACCCTGACAACTACTACACACATGCACACAGTATTTCTCAAAAAGTTTTGATCCAACTGGTTTCCCTGCAACATTGCACATGGACAGCTATGTTCTAAACAGCGGTATTCATGTATGGTAGTGTAATACTGACTCCCACATGGGTATCTTGCAAACACTGAATATCTATGTCAAATTTACACAAGTTGCCAGTTTCTGAGTCACAATGCTAGACACCACAGGAAGCATGTTGGAGTCTGAAGTACTTCCATATCTATAATGGAATACTTTATAGATAGATAATGCATTATAGATTGGTACCCGTCTTTGTATGAATTAATTTTTGCTTCAAATATTCACATATTTGTTTTCAGTAAATTCACACAGGTCCCCCACAGACCTGTCATGTGACACAAATCAAATGATTGTCAGTAATGTGGAAAGAAGTTGTATGACCTGGGCAGGTCTCCAGGTCTTCTGAGTGCCTTCAGATGCATGACAAGACTCTCGGTGGAGAGAAAGTCTGTGACAATAAACACTGTGATGACACCTTTATATGTCTCTGCTCCAGTCAGATACAGGACAAGATGCATACTAGAGAGAAACTACAGGAATATAAGCAGTTTTCATTTCTTCCAGTTCCCTTCCAAAGACATGAACAACTTCACAATGGAGAGAAACCCTATGTATGCAAGCAATGTGGAAAGCCTTTACTCATTCTGGTTCCCTTCTTATGCATGAAAGAATTCACACTTGAGAGAAACCCTATGCATGTAAGCATTGTAGAAAAACCTCTGCTTATTCCAATTCCCTTCAAAAACATGGAAGACTCCACACAGGAGAGAAACTCTGTGTGTCTCAGGCTTGTGGGAAAGCTTTCACTAATGTGTGCCCTGAGTTCAAGCCCCAGTACCTGCAAGCACCTGTGCTGCTTGCTTGAGATGGCTGTCACTTGAGTGATCCAGATTGGCTAGGCTTGAAAAGGACTGCCACACATTTGGTTAGAGATTTATTTCATCTGTCCTTGGAAGTAGAAAAGCAAAAACATAAAAAGAAAATATCAGTTCAAAGCCCAAATTCCTATCTTGGAACAATGTAAAATGTCCAGGTTGCTACAAAGTTTGCCAAGGTTTTCAGCCATGTTCAAACAGTGCATTTTTGTTCCGGTTGTTCCACAGTGTGCTGTCAGCTTACAGAAGGAGAAGGTCAGGCTCACAGAATGCTGTTCATGTAGAAGGAAGCAACACTAAAGATCTAGAAAACTTCCTGAATTTATGTTTGCTCACAGAAAGCCTTATAAAGTTAGTGACTCTCCCAGACAGCGTAACGAGGTTTGATTTTTATATGGTACATAAAGGTGGTCTAGTTTTGGTTAGTTTGGATTCTGGGGTGGGTGGGAAGAAAACACTCTTGAGTACAAAGACTTGTGAGAAATGCAGACACAATGTTCAAAGGAATCTAAACTTCAATTGGGCCAGCATGCCCATGGCTATATGTGTCATTCCAGCTACTCAGGAGGCAGACACCAGGAGGATAGCAGTTTGAAGCCACACCAGAGGAAACAGTTTCTGAAACCCTATTTTGAAAAACCCATCACATAAAAGGACTGGGATAGTGGTTCAATAGGTGAGAGTACCTACCTAGCAAGTGTGAGGACCTGAGTTCAACAACAACAAAATAATCTAAATAAAATAAAACTAAACTACCCCCACAAAAACTTTAATTGAATAGGAAATGTGAGTTATATAAAACTGAATATGGTTGAGAACCTTTCATTGTACCCTGGAAAATTAACTTCACCTGGTATCACAACAAAAAATAATAGGTATTACAAGGTGCTTGTGACTCTCGACTGTAATCCTAGCTACTTGGGAGGCAGAGATCAGGAGGATTGGAATTCAAAGCCAGTCTGGACAAATAGCAGGATACATCAGAGCCCAGGTGCATTTTGGTATCCTCCCAACACACTCCCCATCAGGTACCGACACCCCCCCACACACACCCTCTGAAATATTCCCTGTGTATCCAGACCAGAATAGCACTGGGTGTTGTCCACCCCCCCACACCAGAACTCCATCATGAGCAGCCTGAGCTCCAGTGCTTCCCAGGGCACAAGACTGCTGATGAGGAAGCAGGCACTTCCCTGCAAAGGCCAATGGCCTGGTGAAGAACAATGGACACTTATTCCCAAGGGCAAAGGGGAGTCACCTCCACTCAATGGAACATATGGGGCAGCTGAGGACACTGGTGATGTCATTGAGCCTGTAACCCCAAGCTAAGGTGCTGAGGCCACATGGGAGGTCCCTCACACCCCAACATTTCCTACCCACGAGCAAACAGAATTCCTCCTTCAGCAACCTCATACATGAGAGCAGCAGCACTGATACACCTCTACACAGAGAAACTAGCGCACACCGGAGCGCCCGGCGCCGCGCTCCATCTCACTCCACTCCGCCCTCCCCTCCCCACTCACCACAGCAAGCGAAGAGCACGAACGGCGAGACTTCAACACGACGCACGCACGCACAAACCAACATACAGACCACCAACACACCCACCACAGAAGGCGACACACCAGCAATCAGACTAGAGCCACACATACCCCCTATCGACCCGCACGCACAGACACCACCAAAATCACAAGACAAGGACACAAGAGACAGACCTACAGAGCATCCACCACGCCCACCACCACACGAGACACGAAAGCACGCAGACACCACCACCCGCGCATACCACGCAAGCCACCACTAACCACCATCCACACACGCGCTAGCCGACAGAAGCACGCGCACCTCTCCGCCTCACGCTCCAACGCCCACTCGCCAGCCTAGCCACGCTCCGCGCCGAGCAGCGCCTCGCTCGAACTCTCACACGCTCGACCTCACACACTCCGACGCATACATCCTCCTCTCTGCACGCGTAACTCGCCTCCGCCGAAACATAGTGGTCCAACTGCTTTTTGTTCCTAGAAGGAAGGGGCTTTCTTGTCCCTCCTAGCCACCATCTCTCTTCTCTTCCCTCTGTGGATTCTCCCACCAGCCATCTTGGCTTCCTCTAAGGCCAGTAGAAGGGTCCCTTATAGTTTCCCAGGTTAGGTTAGTGATGAGAAATGCTCCTGTTCCTGGCCCTGCCTCTTTCCTTGTCCCCAACACTGCCATTGCTGGTTTTCTTCTCCAATTCTTTTCCAAGTAGGTATTATTTATCCTTCTCCCCAAATCCCTGAGCCATAAGTGGGGTGCTTATACTCCCAATCCCTGAGTGTCCAGTCTTCCCCTGTTGAGTTTTTTCAGTCTCTTGTGCTGTGCCTAGTCACACATGGGCTGAGGAGGACACTGTCCCTGTCTAGGTTTTTATAAGTGTCTTACTCAAGTTCAAACCTCCAGTTTGTGAATCAACTATGTTTCTTTTCTGACTTGGTAAGCAAGCAACAGGCTTTGTGGTGGGGAGGGAGATCTGTAATGTGAACAACTTCTTGTTGTCTTTTCTTCTCCCATTGTTGTAACTAACTTAATGGCCAAATACTAGATATGTACTTAAAAAAAATAATTGCTAAAACCATTCTCTTCTATCTATAACATTTGAAAAAGGAATAAATGCTGTCCCTTGGGAAAAAAAGACTACCCTAGATTCAACATCCAGAACAAAACACAAATAAGATTTAAAAATTTGTGAAAATGATATGCATTTCAGAAGGAACAAACAAACATGTCAATGGTCAAAAGTGACAGCACTGTCTAAAAAGACAAACAAGCAAACATGGTTGGCTAAACTGATTTAAAAAATGCAAACAATTAAGCCAACTTTCCTTAAGTTTCTTGCTTTCTCCAGACCTGGAATCTGTGGCCCACCATAAGCCTGAGCCAGCACACCATTTCCCTTAAAGACAGGCTGACTTCAGGGAGTAACCTTCTTGATCCTGGAGTTGACATTGATTCCTCCCTCATGCCCCCCTCCACACACACTATCTTTGAATCCTGTTTCCTCTTCCCTAGATAGAACAGCCACTTCACCCTCAACTTAGGAGAACTGAGGGACCTAACAACCAGGGCTTCCCACATGAGAGGGTCTTAGACAAAGACCCTAAGAAGAGGCAGTTGCCACCCACACAATTATCAGTGACAAGTAGGATCAGCAGAAACAGCTGTGGCCAACAAAACCAAAACTGGCTGAAAACTTCTCTAGAGACAGACAGTAAACTGACAGTGACCTCGAGTTTTTACAACCTTCCCTGCCCTGGTTTTAACCTCTCCGTGACATAGTCTGTCACCCAGTTTGTGAATCTACTGTCCTTGGCTTTTTGGGCCAGTTCTAAAGCCTGCACAAACGTGAGGCCCAGACCTCATGCTGTAATTAATGTTGTGATTTTAGGTAGGAACCGCCTCAGAAATCACTGGCTTGGTTCAAAATGCATCTAGCTGGTGTCCTCCCTAGCTTTGGCTTGCTTTTAATAATCCTTGATGGGGGAACCCCATCACCACCCTAAATCCTTTCTACCAGTGTCTGACCCAACACGAGCTGCTGCACCCCTGTTGCCACATCCCATCCAATACTGTCCCTTCTCCCGCCATCAGCTTTTCCTTTTAAAATCGCATCTAGAACAGTGAGAACTTGTCACAGGGGGTCCTCAGCCATGGTGTACAGGGACCACCATTTCCTGGCCAGTGGAGGATGTGGTGAAGACTTGGGATCGGGGTTCAAGCCGTGGGCACAAGCATGGCCTGGGGACTGGTCTTGGAATTCACATGCTTCCCCAACCCTGCAGATTCAAGAAAAACCGGGCACCAATAAGGAGAGACCGGGGACACGCTCCCAACTCCCCAGCAGACCCGCACGAGGCGGGAGCCACCGTGACCACCCTCGCTGCGCCCTGGGGACACGCAGGGCGAGCTGTGCACAGGGCTCTGGGCGGCTGAGGTGGCCGCTCGCATCCAAGGGGACAACGCCAGCCGCGGTTCTGGCCCAGCCCACCTGCGGCCCACAGGAGCGAGGGCCAAGCGGATCCAGCGGCGGATGTGGACTTCAGTCCGGGCTGCACAGAAGGCCGCATCCGCCACCTCTGCTGCCTTCCCGCGGTGCTGCCGCACGCCGACCTAAATCTCACCATGTCCATCTTCACAGCATCGTCCCCAGGCTCCTGTGCTCAAATAACGCAGAACCAAAGAAGCTGGGACACCTGGGAACTGCCACCACGAAAGCCGGACTCAACCATGGTGGCTCAGAGTAAAGACTGTCCTGCTCTGCGCCGCGATGTCTCCATATATCCGCGCTCCTCATTGGACAGCGCCTCATCCACAGATCAGCGTTCCTGATTGGCTGATGGTCCAGGCCCTCCCTATTCAAGCCTGAGTGACAGAAGACCTGTCGGCTCCCTGACTGCAGAACACAAATGACAGGTTCCACTCACTGATCTGCCCAGTCCAGGCTTCCTCCCCTTAATCCGACCTGGCCAAGCCTTGGGTCTAATTGCATTTAGCCGAACCAGTCCAGACGTTCCAGAACAGACACCTGCTTCTTACCACATCTCAGTAACCTCTTATGCTGTCATCTGAAATCACTATTTTTACCAAGTTTGTGGGGCTGTAGGCATGGATCAAGTAGTAAAGTACCTACCTGGAAAAAAAAGTTTGTACTATCATAATTTAACCAGGTATTAATTTAGCAATGGAGGAACGAATTACATGTTGTCCTGATCAATACATTGTCTTTTCTACTTAAGTTAGGATGGGTTTTTATTTATTTATTTAAATTTTCTTGGTGGTATCAAGATTTCAACTCAGGGATCCACACTTTGCTAGGCACACTCTCTACTGCTTGAGTAATACCTCCAGGTTCAAACTTGGATTCTTTATTTCTCTCTTTTGTTTTGTGTTAACATATATAATCTGTACATATTATGTGATTTTCAGCTTAAGTTTTAACATGTATTTATTGTTCAAGGAGGTTTCGCTACACTTTTACTCTACAAGCACATAATGTACTTTTATCCTGTCTATTACTCCTTCTTACCGTCCCTCCCTTATTTCCCACATTTTAAAATTATTAATGGGTTTCATTGTGCTTTTTAAGGATGCATATAATGCACTCCTCCATATTCACCCTCTCATCAAATTCCTCTTTCTTTGCCTCTTTCCTCATATTTTCCACCCCAAACAGGCCCCCTTGTACATTCATGTGAAAGATGAAGATAATGCATATGAGAAGAAATGTCCGACATTCTCTTTCTGAGTCTGGTTTTGTAGCAGTCCCATAACATAAATCAGCTCCATGACATCTTAGGAATGTAGAAGCCGCTGTGACCTTAGAGCAGAGAAGGAACTACTCAGCCAGATGACCAGGAGATAATGGAAGCCCACGTGTGCCAAGAATGGACCTATAGGATTCCACTGGAAGCTGTTGTTTAGGTTAGGGTGGAAGCCTTGTATATATAAAACCCCCACTCCAGCACTCAGGGGGCACCCGGTTTCCAGACTGTGCTGTGTGTCTCTGTTCAGTCTTTCTCTATCAATAAGGTTTCTTTCCTTCCTGTAACTCCAGTGCTCCAGCCTCTCATTCTTGAGGGTACTCTGAGAGCAAGAACCCTTTAGTGAGTCCATGGATTATTACCCAGTGATGTCTCACACCCGTGACATCTTGGCAACCCATGAAGGGACCCTCTTCTCTCCTGGGTGAAAGGTTGGTATCAGTTGTGACTAACCAGAGACAGTCTGCTTGGGAAGTGACCATGATCATCCAGCACTCCCATAGACTCTGTCTACTGGAGAGTCACCCTGCTGTGGAGTAGCCAAAGGCAGAACTCTCTGGCTGCCCCTTTCCTCCTTCTATCAATTGGGAGGTTTCTCCTGAAAGTGGAGGGCTTCACTCCCAGGTTATTGCTGTTGAACAAGGACCTGATGAATCTCCAATGGCCTTCTTACAGCATCTTAAAGAGGCCATTACAAAACACATCACATATTTATACACAATGGAATTTTACTCAGCCATGAAGAAGAATGAAATATTATCATTTGCAAGTAAATGGATGGAACTGGACAACATCGTCCTAAGCGAGGTTAGCCAGACTCAGAAGACCAAAAACATATTCTCCCTCATATGCAGACTTTAGATCTAGGGCAAAGGCAGTAATGCTGTTGGACTTGGGTCACACACTAAGGGCAGAGCACATACAGGAGGAATAGGGAAAGGTAGGGAACCCAAAACTTGAAAGTTGTTTGATGTCCCCACTGCAGAGGAGCTAATACGGTAACCTTAAAATGATAGAGGTCCATATGGGAAGGTGACCACACTGACCAAGTACTGAAGCAGTCTGGTAGAGGTGAATCAATTTGGGTTGTAATACACTTGTGAATGGATCCAATGCTAGGAATCTCTCTGTATAGCTGTCCTTATCTCAGTCTTTCTTATTATTGCTTATGTCTTCTCTTCAACAAAATTGGAGAAAAGGGCAGAACGGATTCTGCCTGGAAGCAAGGGGGTAGGGGGGAGAGGGACGGGACAGGGGGCAGAGGGGAGAAGTGACCCAAACAATGTATGCACATATGAATAAATGAATAAAGAAAAAAAGAAACCACAGTGGATCTTGAGTCGCAAGTCGTGGAGGTCCTCTTAAGAGACAAACAAATTCCTAACACAATTGGTCTAAGGCATTCATAGAAAACTTCAAAGCTGGTGGCCAAGGGCCACAAAATGTTAGACCAGCTGGTACAGACAGCTATTTTTGTATACTGTAATTGGGACCTTACTAAAAAGATAGAAAAAGACAAAAGACATCACAACTTAGTGTCCAGGGCCTCCTGGTCGAGTGCTCCAGTCCCTACAATTCCCCTATTCTGGCAGTACAAAATGGTCTCAATAAATGGAGGTTGGTAGAGGACTTCTGACTCATCAATGAGGCTGTAGTGACCCTGTACCCTGTGGTCCCTAATCCTTATTCTCTCGTGGCTCAGTTTCCCCCTGAAGCCCAATACTACTGTGTTGTGGATTTAAAGGATGCCTTCTTCTGCATACCTCTCCACCCTGACAGCCAACTGCCTTTTGCTTTTGAGGATCCCACCAAACCAGCAGGACAACTAACTTGAACAGTCCTGCCCCAGGGGTTTTTGGATAGTCCTCACATTTTTGGCTAGACACTGGCACGAGATTTAACAAGGGGGTTACTTTACTCCAATACATAGATGATCTTCTTTGTGATCCACTATTTCCCCACTATTTCCAGGATCATAGGGTCCCTATGAAACTCCCTGGCTGATCAGGGCTTTAAGGTTTCCAGCTCAGTTATGTAGCTGTAAAGTCAAATATCTTGGGTTGGTTCTTGAAAAACAAACTAGGTCCCTAGGCCCAGAGTGACTTAACCTAATTGTAAACTATCCTTTCCCTAAAGGCCTTCAACCTAAGGGCTAAGGGCTTTTCTGTGAGTCACTGGATTCTGCCAAATCTGGATTCCCAGCTATGCTGAGATTGCTCACCCCGTATAGCTTTCAGCAAGAGGCTCAACGCTGTCAATCCCTCTTTGAGTGGGACAAACAGTCCCACCATTAAGCTCAAACAGTCTCTTGGCTCAGCCCCGGCCTTAAGCCTACCCACTCAAGACACTTTCCAGCTATATGTCTGTGAAAAAGGGGGTCTGGCCCTCAGAGTCATCACACAATGTTGAGGAAACACTATTCAAACTGTGGGGTTAAGAAAGTGAGACTTTGAGAGGTGAATAAGTCATGAGGATCTTCCCCTCATTAATGGAATGTTATTAACATGGCAGTTGGTGAGTTATTGCTAGACTAGAATCATCATAAGTGTTTTCTCTTGCCCCTACCATCTCACCCATACTTCCTTGCCTTTCTGCCATGTATCATGCAGCACAAAAGACCCTATCAGATTTTGGTGTCATGCTCTTAGACTTCCTAACCTCAAGAACCCTAAAAAGAAGTGGCTGGTGGAGTGGCTGAAGTGGTAGCATGCCTGCCTACCAGGCATCAGTTCAAACCCCAGTATTGCCAAAAAAAATCTGCATAAGAAATAAATTACATTGTTGGTTAAGTACCCAGTGTGAGGTATTCTGCCATAGAAACAAAAAATGGACTAAGACACTCATATTCTTGGTTGACATAAGAAACCATCGTTCCCATGAAAGATGTCTAAGGGCTGGTGGAGTGGCTCAAGTGGGAGAGCACTTGCCTAGAAAGTGTGAGGCCTTCAGTTCAAACCCCAGAATCCCAAAAACAGATGTCTAAGAAAGTCGCCACCCTGGCAGAGGGAACTGGAGAGCAGAAGGTCTTCTACAGCACAGACACTCTTGGAGAGATGTGATAAATTAAGAAAACTTAAATTTCCCAGGAGACAGAGGTAGCCCAGTATAAGGATCAAGTGCCTAAATGGAGGTAAACATCTGCATTTTGTCCCAGCTCCAGCTGTTGTGAACTTGGCACATTATGAATGTTATGTAGCCTCAGTTGCTTCAGCTGGAACCTGGAGCTCAAAGATAACTACACGTCATGAAGCCCTTGTGTGATTCAAGACTCTGATGTGCAGACAAAGGCCTGTGCACTGGTAGCACTCATCGAAGAGTTATGAAGTGTGATGACAGGGCATTGAGCACACACTTAGAACACTGACATCCATGCTAGAGGAATATTTCTTGTCATCAACACACAAACTGAGAATCAGGTCTGCAACAGGCACAAGAGCCACATAGATGATTTGGGCTCATCTTTTTTCTTAGGATACTTTGATTTTTGACAAAGAAGTATACACATGATATCCTGGATGTTTAAAAATGATAAGGCATGGATAATTGATTTGGAGCATGCTATGGTTTGGATACAAAAAGTATCACCAAATGCTCACAAGTTCAAAGCTTATTTGTTTGCTTCTGGGCTTTTTGTGGGTTATTCTTTTCTTCTTGTCAATGCCAGGGTTTGAACTCAGGGCCTCATTCTTTCTAGGCAGGCACTCTACCACCAGGCCTTTTTTGTGATGGGTATTTTTGAGATAGTGTTTTATGAACTATTTGCCCTGGGCTGGCTTGGAGCCATGATATTCCTGATCTCTGCCTCATCAGTAGCTAGGGGAACATTCAAAATAATTTCTTCTAGATTTTTTGAAATATATAACACATTAACATTCTTTATAGTCACACTATTATGCAAAAGACCACCAGAATTATTTACTCCTATCTAACTGTAAATAAGTACTCACTGTCAGGCACCTGTGTCTC